TGTGTGAGGAGAAGAGGAAGCTCGATAAGATATTTAGACATATGGTGTGAAATGCGCCTGCTGTAAAGGGATCACTAAACAACACATTTGAATGAAGGTTTAAACCTTGTTTGAACTTGTATTGACGAAAATTTGTATTTGAGTAAATTCAAATTGAATTTACTTGTGGCGGGCTTAAATAATCATTCCATGTATGGGTAATTTAATATGAAATGAACTTTCGGGCTTATTTTCCCAAGAAATAAAATAGTATTCATATTATCTTAATTTTGGACATATTATGGGAGCATATGAAGTCAATTTTCCCTCAAGAGAGAGATAGAATTGGGGGAGAGAGAACGAGAAAAGCTGAAGGAGTCATCTATTGCAATCACAGTTGAAGAGAAAAATGCCCCTCGAACTTAAGAGAAAATTCTATAAAGCGGTGGTGAGATTTGTAATGCTTTATGGCATAAAATGATGGCCATTAAAAGAGAAGCATAAAATTAAGTTAAGTCTTCCAGAGATGTGGATGCTCAGGTGGATGAGTGGTTTTACTCTTAGAAACAAAATGAGAAACGAGTATACACATGAAAAGTTTGGAGTAACTTTGGTGGCACATAAGATTAGAGAGAGTCGTCTTAGATGGCTTAGTCACATAAAACATCGGCCTTCTGATGACTTCATTAGGAGAGTATATTATTAAATCTGACCTATGTTAAGAAAGGTAGAGGAAGAGTTAAAAAGACTTAATTAGAAAGTATTATAAATGATCTTTTCTTATTAGATTTAGATGAGAATTGCTCTTAATAGGACATAATGGGAAAAAAAAAAAAATTCCTGTATCTAACCCTACGTAGTGGGATAAAATCTTATCGCAAACCATCAAGTATTCCCATGGTGCAATAAAATATCATAAAATGGCCTTTCTTAGCAACTTGATAAATTAAACGCATTCTAATTAATTACCTTCATGGCATAATAAAGAACCGTTGTCCATTAGCTGTTAATTGAACCCATAAGGCCATAACCACTTTTTTAAAGTAATTAGCTATAATTTAATTTTCAATTCCTTCATTAAAAAATATTTTAAGATATTCAAATATAATCTATATAAAAATGAAACTGAATATTATTAAATTGGTCTGGATAGATCAATCTAATTTCAGAAGTTAAGGCACATAATTATGACCAAATCTATTGCCAACCAATGCTAATTAGTCAAATAAATATAAAATAAATGCCAAAGTAGAGAGAATATATCAGTTTTGAACATTCCTTGAAGTAATTAATTGTACATATCTGATCCTATTAGAAGGTTTTAGCTTATTAGAGCAAGAGAACAAATGGAGAAAATTAGCAAGGGTGGAGAGTAGGAAAGAAGCTAAGAGATCTCTATTAGTAAAAATAAAATAAAAATGTCATGAAGCATAATGAAGTCTCAAATATACCTCTTAAAGCCTCTTTATAAGGTTAAGAGGGTTATAAAAAAGACTCTTTTTATTTAAGAATATAAATTAAAATAATTTAATAAAATTTGAAATTTTTTATCAGATTCACATTTTCTAGCTCATGAGTCAATAATAAGAATGTAGAATAATGTGGTGTTGATTTATTAGCAAAATGACTGCCCTTTGTTAATTTATATTTCAAAACATAATGTAAACACACATACATTAAAAAAATACATATACTCATTTATTTATTTCGGTTAGGCTAATCAAATCTTTATGACTTAATTGAACCTAGTAAGTCATTGATTGTGAACTAACTAACTAAGGATTTTCATAAATAAAACTCATTTAATAATGAGTAAGCTCCTAGTAAAAAAATATTAAACTTGCTTAGAAGGCTAATGAAGTTGATCATCTGCTAGGGCTACTTCACCCAATGAACTTAGTAATTTGCCCATTATACTGAGAACCAACTAAGGATTTTCATAAAAAAAACTCATTTAGGGTCCTCACCTTCATGAGTTTGGAACTTATTTGAAGTTATGAACCAACAATTGACTGTAATCCTAACTCGGTCACTATATAGATAGCTATATCGAGTTCACTCTATCTACTTTTCATTTATATATATATATATATATTAACCTCTTTTTTAAGTAGGTAAGGCATAGACCTAATATTGATCATCTTTTCTTAGGTTTTATCCTATAAAACTTTTATTTGGCATATTACCTTAAAAGGAATCAATATCCTTATCTAACACCTTATGACCCTTTAAAGGCATCGATACCCATTCAATTCTTATTTGACCCTCAAGCTCTTGTTGGATGAGCTAAGTCTAAATTATCTTAGAGTTAACCCTAGACTTACCTGGGGTGGAATAGGACCCATTGAATTAGTTAGACTTAAATTAACTTAGATGATTGAGGCATCTAAGCTTAAATTAAACTTAGCCAAGTCAACCATGTTATAAATTACCACTTGATTCGATCTACCCTTAGGATTGACTCATTCCTAAGCTAGTATACTAGATGCGACCTTTATGGCTAGGCTCTCAAATTAATTGACTTAGTCTTTAGGCCAAACTGGTTAGGATTTGCTTAGAGGATGGCTAGATGACTAGAGGAGGAAAGTTATGGATTTATACATTGGGTTTTAAGGAGGAAGCTAAGAGGGATAGAAGAGGTGATGAGTTAGGCCTAGAATAATAATAAAATATAAGCTATAGGGCTCTCACATAAGTCCTTCTATAAGAATAATTCACTAAATTATTTCATCAACATGAAGTCTTAAACTTCAATTTTATTCAAGTAATAACATTCAAATATTACATTCAATGATTCATAAGAACTACATTATACTTGTATAAAAGTCATTAAAAAAAAGTCAAGAAGTAAATCTAAGTTAAGCATGTATGTATTAGCTAAGACTTATAAGGGAATCTCTCTTGATATCTTGATTTCTTTCACAAGTTTAATGAGGGTATGACTGAGCTAAATATATAAGGTAATTACACTCTTTAAATGCTCCTTAATCTTGTATTTAAGAGGGGTCGACTAAGCATACAAGAAAAAGGAGTGAAAGTATTATTGATTGATAATCATTTTCATATATTTTCCTTATGTGGGTGGATGGAGACCATAAAGTAAGGAAGGAAGAACAACTCTTCCAATGTGGACATTTGCTTCATCTTGCTTGGAAGGGGTAAATATATGTTAAGGAAGAGTGCCAACATTAAAGAAGGACACTTTGTTTTAAAATTTAAAATAATGAAATCCTAATGTCATGCTTGAAGATAGACTCTTGCTCTATATCATATTTACTAGAACAGTTAGAAATATACTCTGAAGAGTTAAAGTCAATAGAGTCATCATAGAATTGTTACTAGCTTACTTGAATCATAAGTGTTAAAATAAGCTTTATGTCAAAAGTGGCTTGCCTTGTAATGGATAAGTTTGAGCTCTTATAGGTGGGTTAGTATGAACATATTTATTATTGTTTACTTCTATTTTATTACTTCTAGCAATGACAAGTCCACAAGAATTAAGTGTTAGAGTAAATACAAATGAATAAAAAAAAGATGATTGATTATTAAAAAAGGTTGGCCTTGCTTTTTCTTTTTGAATATGCATGAAAGCATGATCACCGTTGAGTTTGTGTTGAATTGGTTGTGAAAATTTTTTTGGGTGACTTAGGAACAATTTTATTAAACATTTTATGGACTAGAAGGTTTCAAAGTATAAGGTCTATAAAAGTTTTAGTTGAACGACATGTGCCAAGTTATCAATAGATTAATGTGAAGTCCTAAGGTTTATTTATTTTCTGTGATTACTTAGGTTTTGCCATATTATATATCATGTCAAGTCCAAGATTACTTTTATCATTACCTAGTTATTAATGTATTTACATCTTGTTAAGGCTTGCATAATGATCTATCAAGATAGATTAAGGCTCCTTCATGAACAACAAAATAATTAAAAAATAGTTAGGGGAATAAAACCATGAAAGAAAATCTAAGCTTTGAAAGAAAACACCAATATTTGAATCTTGATGTTATTGTATGAATAACTTTTTCTCTTTTATGAATGTTGCATTCTTTAATTTTTTCTAGATGCCTTTGTAGGGATCTTTTTTTGTAAAAAAGGTGTGTGAACAACATTTGAATAAATATTTTCATAAATTGCAACTAGCTTGGGCCAAAGCTATCCGATGCCAAAATGATGTTGGCATGATGGTAATTGTTACCGATAATAATTTTGAGTGGCTATCTCTATTAGATATTCTTGATTTAAGCCAACAAATCATGTTATAATGCCTTCCCCATTGAACCTATTATCCCCATTCTACATGTGCTAAAATGACATCAGGTCATTCGATCTTCATTTAGCTTCATCGCAGACCACTATACCTACTAAGTGTAAGGGATAAACTTCAAATAGTTTAATTAAAATAGGATTTCAATATACTTTGAAGTAATTCAAATATACATATATTATGTATGTTACAAGATATTATTCTATGAAAAATTGAAAATTAAAGAAATTAATTAGATTTATTATCAGGATCCTAAATCTGAATCCCACTTACATCAAATTTATATATTCAACCCTAATTTGAATATAGACACATTAATTATCTAATAAAACTTTATTCATTTCAATTTGATCAAATATAAATTGAAAACCCTTAGAGAGACCAATAACAATGGGCTATAAATACTTTCTTAAATGAATCAAATTTCATTAAATTGATCATTTTGCTAGATTTAGAAAGTAAATAGGATGGAAATTTGATTTCTTTCATAATTAGGGATTTTATTTTTACTCAGAATTACATAAATGTAAAGTCACATATTTATAAATATTTCCCCAAAAAACATATTTATAAATTTTTTACTTAATTAAAAAAAATGAACAAGTCAAAGCCGGAAAGTAGTTCACTAGTATCACGTAACTAGAGCGGAAGTCGCCCGAAATGCTAGGTTGCCGGTAAAAAAAAAAACCTTTTTTTTAGGGGGAAAAAACGTTTTTTTTTTTCACTCATAAAAAACCCGCTCCCCAATCCGAATGAGCTCAGGGTATCGCTTGTGCAGAGAACAGCAACGATATTATTTTATTCCGAAGTATTTTTCAACATTGCACTTGTCATTTTCCCATTATTCCTCTCTTTTTTTCGTGCGTTCGCCGTCTCCATTTTCGGTTTTTCTTTGGAGGGAAGGTGAGGGAGAAGAGGTTTTCTACGCTACAGATATGGGTTAATGGTGTGTGAAAGAAGCTGCTGGTGATCATCCGTTTGGCTGCTGCTTGTCAGGTGCCAGTGGGCTATATACCTTTTCTCTCTGGTTTGCATCTTTCTTTCCTTTGATAAAAAAGAAGTTTTTCTTTGCATTTTTATTGGAAAATCACAGTTTGGTTTGTGAAATTTTGGTTTTGGATTCTGTATTCTTCTAAGATCTATTAATCGATGATATTTACTTATTTATAGTCGGTTTTTAAGAGAAAGGATCTCTACCTGTGTATCTGATTGAATTTATCTTGAAAAGTTAAGATTTTGTTGTTGTTCCAATGGAAATCAAGTACTGAGTTTTATGATGGCAAGCTAGTTTGGTAAAATCTGGGATTTGCAGAAAGTAAGTTTAGTTGCTGTATATGAAGTTACAGTTGACCCAAAATCAGATTTGGTTACCGTCTGTTATTATTCTCTTCCTCTCTGCGAATTATAATTTCAGATAATCTTCGCCTTTCTATTTGATTTGGAGTTTTGGGGCTATATCTATTTTTTCGCTTCTTCAGGCTTGTTTGCCTTTTGATTGGTTATAGTCTTTGTATCGTATTAAGTGAAAATTCTTTTCATTTTTGTTTTTCTGTAAAGGATTCTGCGGCTTATTGGTTCTGATTCCTGCTTCTTAATTTTGTTCCATATTTTAGGTCTTTGTTTTTGCTGGTGATCAGAATTTCTACTAACGAGGTTTGCATCTTCGGAAGTTCGTCGTGTCCGTTAAGTAGTAAACCATCCAAAAGCAAAAAGTAGTTTTCTTCTGGTAAGCTGTCTGAATTTCTAGTTTTAAATTGTTGCTTCTCTCTGTTGGGTTGAATATTTTTGAATACTCAAGTGGATGGAAATGATCTAAAACATTCAAAAGTTTCATGATGCTGCTTTCTGTCTTTTAAAGGTTGGATTGAAGATTTTTTTCTTATTTATGGAGAGATTGAATAAGAGAGTCTATAACAGCTTATTTTTTTGACAAATTTTGAGGTGAGTTGCTTCCCATGTCCATATAATTTATTTGGGTTTGTATGTAATTTTAGTTTTTACATCCCCTCTTTTATGTTTTGACCATTTTCTAGGTTTTTGAGCTGATATCCATCATCATCAAGTGAGGATTAAGGATAATTCTTTGTTTGTATTTCTAATTTATTATACTTTATCTAGGTTGAATTTCCATGTTCTCAATGTATTTAGCATTCTTTCAACAGGAATAAGAAAGAAGCAATTTTGAATTTTTGTGAAGGTGAACAGCATTTCCTCCTGGTCTTTGAGGTTTTTGAATCCATTTGGGACTTGCTTTGGCCTGGATCTGTTACCTGGTTTTAGCTGGTAAAAGGATCAGGTCATTGCCATACCAGGAGAAGCGTTATTAGATTCTTTTCTCTTGGAACCATGACGACTTTTCCTCGCGCTGAATCAAGGAGATCGTATTCGTGGTGGTGGGACAGTCATATCAGTCCAAAGAATTCGAAATGGCTTCAGGAAAATCTGACAGGTATTTATATTTGCTTCTTCTCGCATATGATTTTCTTACCTAATGCTGAGATGGTTTTCTGTGTCTGAATATTTCATGGTTGTCATATGGCTTATTTATCTAATGGGATTGTCTTTAATTCTTTATTAATTATTCTTGTTAAGCGTTGCACTTTCTGTTAAGTGTAGTTTACTAAGGGTTCGTTTGGAACGGCTGCAGCTGTCGGAAAAGCAGGTTGCGAAGTTGTTGTACAGAAAACTGAGTTCTAAAATTCTTGTACATAAAGCAATATGTTTTGTTTGGGGAGTATAGTTGTCGAGTTGCCGTGCTGCAACTGTATGGGAATAAATTACATTTATACCATTATATATATTGAGATGAAAGGAAATTGATTAAATGTCAATTTTTTTTTTAATTTATATGATAACAAATTAATAATTCTAAATTAAAATTACATCAACTTTATGAATTATTTTATGACTTTTAAATATCAAAGTAATATAATTATTTTTACAATGCACAACAATCTTTAAAATAATATAAAAATTTACAATAACTTTTTTTTATTACTTCATTTATACCCTTCTACCGCACCCAAAGCTATTTGCAGGCTAACCTTCCAGGAAACGGAATAAATAATAATCTAAGCTCTTATTGGGCATAAATTCATGGACCAACAGCCTTTGCTGCCTTCTTTCACCATCAACAGCATAATATCCAATGAGTTTTACAGCACTTTTGCAAGCCATTGCTTATGTCCCTTCAAACCATTTGGAAGCTTTTTTCTTTGAAGATGAAGAAGATGCTCTCGTTCCCTCAGGGGCATACTTCCATTCATAGCCCTTGGCAAGGAGGGGTTTAATCCAGCTCCATGTGCGGCGGGAGAGAAGGGAGGCGGTGGCATAGCTGGTGACATTCCGTTTCGACTGGGGAGTCCGATAAGTTGGTGTCTGTAGTTGATGGGGAGGCGGGGGATGAAGAAGAGAGCTAGGAATAGAAACTGGTGGAAGGCGAGAGGGCGAAGAGAAGAAGAGTCGCGGAGAAGAGAAGGAAGATGAGGGAGGCGATGCCATTTGGAAAGTTGGCGGATGCAGAGAAGAAGCGGAGGATTGTAGAGATGGTGAGGAGGATCATCAGTAAGAAGGAGAAATCCGGAAGAGTTGGAAGTAGTGCGGAAGGCTTCGGAAGAAGGTCACGAATAGTTGCAAGGGGGATTTATGTCATTTTTGTGCGGAAAGCAGCGGACGGAAGCGGATCGCCGGAGATAGGGAAAGGTCGCGGGAAGCAACTATGTGCCGCGAATTTTTTCTGACGGTTCTGCCGCAATGCCCCAAACGAAGATTTGATAACTTTTTATAAAGCACAGCAGCAGTGCCGGTGTCCCAAACGCACCCTAAATCTATTTGTACCGCTTCTTAGAATGATTGTTAAATCTACTTTGATATCAGACGTTTGGAATGGATCCATAAAATAACAATTTAGATTTAAAGAGGCATTCTTATAGAGGGATTTTTTTTGGGTTCCTATAGGACTTTAAGAAGGCGTGCTAGGCAATCCTAATACACAATTTTTTGTTGGGGAAGATGAGGAGTAAACACCGCAATGACGAAACAAGCACGAAAGTAAAAGCAGCGAAAAAGTAAAGGACACCGGGATTTAATGTGGAAAAACCCAAAATAGAAAAAAAAAAACCAGGAGCCACACCACACCAAGAAATCCACTATGAAAATAGGAGAAATAAGGACATATCGCTCTTCTCTCTCACTTTCTTCTTACTTCTCTTCTCACATGCACCGTTCTCAATATCTACGTTATCAAAATATATGTGAGAACTGGATTAGGCTGGTTCAACCGAACCGGCCAGTTATAATTATGGGACGCGACCCCGTAAAGGTGGTCGATTTTCTCAAAATAGAGGGCGGGGAGGGTGGGCGACCGAACGTCTTGAAGGAGGATTTTTGGAGTTTCGATTCGCCATGTTTAGCCATCCAATGCGTTCGGGGATAAGATTTAGCGACTCCTCTCCTTTCCTGTTGTTAAGAAGTGATAGATTTGGAAGAAATTTCAACGAAAGGGAGGAACGTCCGAGGAAAGGAAGGAAGAAGGTTTGTTGAGTTTTCTTTTCAATTTTATCTATAAATTTGTATCATTTTACTCTATTTAAAGCAAAGGATAATTTCTAAAAGGGGGAGAAAGCAATTTGGAAGCAAGGAGAAGAGATTTTGAAAAGGAAAGAGGAAGAAATTGGGGTTTGAAATATTCCCTTGTAGTAAGTAAAAAGTCCTTTTAAAAATGTTCTTAAATTTATTATAAAATTATTTTTTTTATGAAAATTTTGTTATTTAATGTTAGAAATTTTGGAAAGAAAGAAATCAAGTGGTACAAGTTGAGTTCTTGAAGGAATTCAATAAAAATAAAATTTTGAGATTGAGGTGAAGACAATGATCGACGAATTGAAAGATCAAAGTGGGTAAATTGTGTTGTTTTATGATTTTATTCATGTTTGCAATATTCTAAGTAATTGATTAATTGTGTATTACAAAATATTGAAGGTATAAGCATCTTATGAATTTATAGTCTTATGAACAAATTCATCCGTTATAAAGGTTTGAAAGCTTATGAAAATGAAAGGTAATATTTATATGTAAGAAATGCTATATGCAATTGTAACAATAAGGATGAAAGGCACAATATCCAGTTGAGGATCTGACAACTGTAGTTTGCTTTTTGACAGTCAAAGAGATAAGTGTGGAGCCAAGAAAGGCACAATATCCAGTGATAGTGCGACGATCAGTACAAAGAACAACCCAACGTGAATCAACAAAGGCTTGAAGGCTTAAGATGAATCGAGAAATGGGTAACCCAAACGAGATGGTGCCATTTATGTAACGAAGTACCCTCTTTAGTAGCTCAAAATGTAGGACGTTGGGACGATGCATATGTTGATAGAGATAATTAACAACAAAGAGAATATCCAAACGAGTTTGGGTGAGGTATTGTAGTGATATGGTGAGTGGGTTGCATATATAAAGTTGAATCAAGAAGAATGGTAGGAAGTTTAGTGGGCAGCGGGGTTGCAAGTGGTTTACAATCTTGCATGAAGACTTCAATTAGAAGATTTGCAGCGTAGCGGGATTGATTTAGGTGAATGCTAGTAGAGGCATAAGTGACATGGAGCCCAAGGTAATCAGTGAAGGGACCAAATTCCGCATGCGAAAACGATCTTCCAAGGTTGTCAAAAGTAGTTGAATTGCTCGGGTGTCATTCCACTTTACAAGATATCATCGACATATACAAGGATGTTTATTTTGGAAGTGCCATGATTGTAAACTAGAAAGGAGGAGTCAACCGCGCTTATAGTAAAGCCATATGAAACAAGATATGTGGAAAATGTTGTAAACTACTGCCGAGGAGCTTGTTTGAGACCATATAGGACTTTCTTGAGAAGGCACACATAGTTGGGATTAGAGGTGTCAATTTCGGGTTACGGGTCGGGTTTGGGTCGAATCCGAAACTGACCCAGTACTATTAGGGTTCAGGTCGACCCGACCCATTTTTACAAACGGGTTGATTTTCTGGACCCAAACCCGACCCGCTTCGGGTTCGGGTCAACCCGACCCGACCCGCGACATGACCTCAGAACTAAACGCGACGCGGAACTGTCGTGGACGCCGGACGCTGGACTCGGTGCGGAACTGCCGCGGACGCTGGCGATGTGGCGAGACGGTGATTGACGCTGAACGCTGGAGCGGCGCAGAACTACCGCGGATGCGACAATGTCTTCACCCCGCCTGCCCGCCTACCGCGGACGCAGACGCCGGACGCAGGAGCAGCGTGGAATTATTGTGGACGCCGGACACTAGATGTGGCGCGGAACTGCTGCGGACGCCGGCGAGGCGGCGACTGACGTCGGATGCAAGAGCGGCGCGGAACGCACCGCGACCGCGCGACATGGCCTCGGGCTCGGGATTCCGGGTCATTTCGGGTTATTCCCGGGTTCCCGGGTCAACCCGAACCCAACCCGATTTTTCAAACGGGTCGGTTTTCAGGACCAAACCTGACTCGTTTCGGGTTCGGGTCAACCCAAACCTGAAATTTTCGGGTCAGGTTTTCGGGTCAGGTCTAATATTGACAGGTCTAGTTGGGATATTGAGGATCAATGATGCCTTCGAGTTGAGCCATATACACCATCTCATTTAAAATGCCATGAAGGAAGGCATTGGACACATCTAATTGGAGAATTGTCCAATTATGGGTGGTGGCAATGGTAAAAAAGACACGAATTGTGGAGAACTTGGCAACCAGGCATCATTGTAGTCTAGATCAAGTTCCTGTTTGAACCCTTGAGCAACAAGCCTAGCCTTATACCGAGCAATTGTGCCATTTGAATTGTATTTGGTCTTGAAGAGCCATTTGCAACCTAGCACGCTTTGATCTGGAGAGGTCAGGATAAGAGTCCAGGTGCCTAGATTTTGTAAAGCCTCAATTTCTGCACTCATAGCTTCACACCAAACAGGATATTTACTGGCCTGAGAGAAATAGGTAGGATTTGTTGGAATTGGGAGGTGCTGAAGGTTAAGAATGACCTTGGGCTTGAGAGCACTAGTTTTGGATTGTGTAACCAGCGGAAGTCGAGCAAGCAGCAAATCATGTGAAGGAATGGCAACAGCCGAAACAGGACAAGACGGGGCAGGGGGTTCGGCTGCAGGAAGGGAAGATGTAGATGGGGAAATGGCATGATTGTTAGAAGATGATGTAGTGGTAGAGATAGATGAATCTGTGGTGGGTAGATGTGGAATTGATGAAGCTGGAATGAGAATTGAGGGAGGGATGTTTTCAGGTGTAGGAGGGGCAGTAATAGTTGGGGAAGGTTGTTAAGGGAAAATAGTTTCATAAAATCTAACATGACGCGATATATGGAGGCTACCAGTGGCTAAGTTGAGACACTTATAGCCTTTTGCTTGAGTGACATAACCAAGAAAGACACATGGGACGAAGCAAGGGGAAAGTTTGTGAGATAA